CAACTATTATATGTCATCTGAACTGATTTAAAATGAAATCAAGAATTTCATTCCAATCAGCAATGAGGACAATGAAATTACAGCATACCTATTGTGGTCATTTCATCCGTTGCTGATTCAAATTGTGATTTTTACATCACCTGTCAGCTGCTACTAATGATGACAATGAAGACATTCCAGAGGAGGAGGCAATTTGCAGAATATGTTTTGTTGAGGTTGAAGAAGGAGGAGAAACACTTAAGATGGAGTGTAGTTGCAAAGGAGAGCTTTCACTTGTTCATAAGGAGTGTATTATAAAGTGGTTTAACATCAAAGGCAATAAGTTATGTGATGTTTGCCAGCAGGAAGTTAAAAACCTCCCTGTCACACTGCTAAAGTTACGGAATCCTTCAACTGCTGTGAGAAGGCTGACAACTGCATCTCAACAGCAACAGGAACCTGCTCGGTACAGGCTAGTTTAATTTTACCTTCTTTAATATTCTGATATGCCTGACCCCAAACTCTTTTGGTATTAAGGCTTGGATGCCGTTGTCTAATATTCTGATGTGATACTAAGATACTACTGTATCTGTATAGAATTCATGTGGTTACTTAGTTTTATCACTTTATGTTATCCTTTAACTTACCATCAAGAATGAAGTCAATCATAGGCTAAATAAAACAGTTTCTTTATCGCTTATCTTCAATTTCACCTCTTTCTCTACTTCAATATGGATGGAATGAAAAGCGTTTGGTAACATCCATCAAGTCAAATAAGCAAGTCAAAAATTACTTATTGTGGTCCGTAGCCAAATAAGCCATTTATAGCTACCAAACGGTGCCTTCGTATTATATCTTGTTTTTTGTTAATACCCTCCACAACACATGCATGTCCTTTTGTCTCTGATGGTACGACATGGTTAAATATGGGCACATAATAGCTAGGAGTAATCTCTTTTATTGAAAATTTTGGCTGCATTTTACGTATCTTTCCACGTCTTAAAATTAGTAAATTACAATGACCATTTTTATAAGACTTGCTTGGCACATTGTCTTGTTTTTGACAGGGTTTGGCAGGATGTACCTATTCTTATTATGGTCAGCATTCTAGCATATTTTTGCTTTCTAGAGCAACTTCTGGTACTCCCTTTTATATCATTCTGATTCTTATTTCTTAACATTTATTTTGTGAAGATAAAAAAAACTAGAATTAATTCCACTTTTGGTCCCTACGAGTTTTGTGCCAATTCCACCTTTAATCCACTTCTTTCACTTTTTCCACTTTGGTAGTTGACTAATGTTTTTTAACCGGTTGTGATCCTTTTCCGGCAATTTTAACCATCGAAAACAATGCTGGAAGGACCCAGGGGCGGACCCAGGAAAGTCATTTTGGGGGGGCAAAAATATTTTTGGGGGTTCAAAATACTTTTTGGAAGAGCAAAAATTATTTTTCGTATATATATACACTAAAAAAAAAATTGTTGGGGGGCGGTAGCCCCTCTGGGTCTCTACTACGGTCCGCCCCTGGAAGGACCATATATGGGCGAAAACCCAATAGTCATGTATCAAAAGTGTACAAAGTGAAAGATGTGGAGTAATGTGGAATTGACCTAAAACTCGTAGGACCAAAAGTGGAATTTATTCAAAAAACTAGAACAGCCTAAAGTTTCAACTGAAAAGGTGAATTCATAAACATGATAATTCAGAAACAGGGTGAACCCACACAGGTAGCTTGATTGGTTGCCATTTGAGGCTTACCCAACCGTTAACTTGAGGGGCCGTGGGATTAGTTAGTGAAAATGATCCATATCCACGAAAAAATAGGAATAGCGTGGTACAGATTAACTGTCATTTCTATCAACTGCTTCATTATATATGGTTATGAACTTCTAATTATTATTAGTATATCTGTTCATTAAAAGGATTCGTCTTTAAAACGCTGCTATACCAATTCGTAGGTGTCTGACATGGGAACTCGTGCTCTTGCTCTCTCATTGCCCTTCTCTTGTGCTTTAGGTTTCATGTCATCCTTGATAGCCTCTACAATGGGTAATATTTTTCCCATGTTTGATTGGTACTTATTTGTTCAACTCCTTGTCGGCTAAATAACCAAATAGTTAAAATGGAACTCTCCAAGACTGGAAATTCTTCATGGATGACCACTACAAACTGTACAAGTCATCACAAGTGGTGTAGTCGGCAGGCCGGTAAAAAGAACTTTTTCACATAATTGTTTTACACAATATGTTTACCTATAAATCAAAGTTTTTTACCAAATTGGTGTGGGCCATAGCCGTCATGCCTCCTAAGTTACTCCCCTGCCCCCTGGTCATCACAGGCCTGTATACTGGAAATGATTAACTAAACCTGTAAATAGTTTCTTCTTGAACTCTTTACTTTTTCAGAGTAATATATTACTCGGGGTGTTTGTGCTGATGCTTAGTTTTTGTTATTTGATTTGCAGTGAGCAAGGGATACATATGGGCTTATTCTTCGTTTCAGTTCGCAATAGTGATCTTATTTGCTCACATATTTTATGCAGCTGTAAGACATCTCTTCTCCATTTTAAAAAGTACTCCCTCCGTCCCATTTTACTTGTCTTACTTTCCTTTTTGGGTTGTCCCAAAATAAGTGTCACCTTTCCCTTTTTGGAAAGGAATATGTGGTTCACAACATTTCATTTTACTATACGCAAATTTCAACCACAACTTTTACCTTTTCAACCACTTTATTAAAAATTGTGCCAAAACCAAAGGAGACACATAAAATGGGATGGAGGTAGTAATATTAAAGGGTCCTCCTTTGCGCATCATCACCACTTTAATCGCAAATGTGACGGGGAGTGCCATCAATTAATATTATCTAATAGTTTTCTAAAAGTTTCATGCAAAAGTAAGATGGCAAAGTTTTATGTAACATTGCATTCTTGTTGCAACCTTCTTATGAGATGGAACAACAACAACAACACCCAATCCTTATTCCCAAAAGATTCCGGAGTCGGCTAAATTAGATGGAACCCATAATTACTAAAATTCCTGTCATCATTTCTTTTCTTTTTTCTCTTGAATGGAAATTATCAATCATATGGTGACTAACTGATATAATTGGTAGTCATGTTTCATGGAAAAATGATATTGTAAAATGAACATGGGCATCACAGAACTTGTTAAACAGTCTCACATTGGAAAAATGTAAATTCAAAAGCAATATATTAAAGATTTCGGCTATGCATCATATTGACATTGTAGAATAAAAACCGAAAGCTTTAGAATGGTATGCAAATAATTTAGTCTGAAATAATGACCTTTTTGAAATATATGATTGATGACAACATATGTATCAATGCAGCTTAACGTGAGTGCTATTCTGTCTGTGTTGCTTTCCTCCTTCACTGGGTTTGGGATTGCAATAAGCACAAATTCACTGGTGGTGGAGTATTTGAGGTGGAGAGGCAGCCGGCAGCATCCCCAGAACACCACCACCACCACGACTAGGAACGTTGATCGGATGATGCAAGTGTGAGTCCAACTGTTGGGGAAAATCCAGAAAAGTGCTTATATGACCCAAAAGACAATTATGCTTTTTGGTCATAATGGTATATCACCTTTCATGTAAATCCAAAGATGGTGATAAGAGTTAGTTGTCTCCAGCTTCATTACACAACAAGGTTGGGACCTCAAAGCAAGTAAAGAAATCAAATTAGAGAGAAATAGATTTTTCTTTCCCACGCACAATCAGTTTGATGCATTAGTGTTTGATGACCATAGATGTTTTTTACACCTAGTAAGAAGAATCTATGTATCATCATCGTTTAGTCCCAGTTATGTGGTGCCGGTGACATGATTTCAAGATCTGCTCGACAGATAAATGTCAATTTGGTTGAAATGAAGGAATGTGTTGATAACTTGATGTTGTGTGTTGAAAGCCATATTGATATTATTGCTGCTGATGCTGCTCTTATTTTTGTTTTTAAAAAGCGGTTCATACCAGAACCGGCAATTACATTTTCATGTTTTGTGATATTTGAATTGTGATAGTTAACACCCAGTTCCAAATTAGAGGTACTTCGTAGTTTTGATAAAAAAAAAAACAGGTGGTTCTGGTTTAATCTAAACACGCATGTGGATTAGGGGTGGACCGGTTCCGGTTCGAGCCTGGGCCCGGCCGGGCCTCGATTCATGAAAGGGGAGGCCCACAACCGGCCCAGGTAACCCCTGGGTCCGGGCCGGGCCTCAGTTCATGTAATTTTTTTTTGCTTTTCCTAATTAACCCCCAACCCTCCCCCCTCACCCCAAACCACCTCAAATGGCCCATCATACCCAGCCCAACCCAAAAACTTAAAAAAATTCAAAAAAAAAAAAGAAAAAAATAATAAATTGGCCCGGACCGGGCCCGAACCGGCCGGTTCACTATTTAGCAGGCCCGGGCTTGAACCGCCTACCTCACCGGGCCGGGTGGCCCGAAACCGGGCACCAACCGGTTCACCGGTCCAGTTCCGGGCCGGTTGGCCCGGCCCGAGTCTACTCCTAATGTGGATAAAGCTTAATGAACAAAAAAGATAACAAATATCAAGTGGGAGTACTTTTTTTGGTGAGATCAAATCAAACTTGCACAATTATAAAATATACAAAGATCAGACACTTACCAAATTAGACCAGACCAGTTCAGACCAAATCAAACCAGACCAGAATTTTTTGGTTCAACTAAAAACATCTTAAATTGCAAAGATGTCTCTTTTCCTCCCAAGAAAATACACCATTTGACAACGATAAGTTGAAATGGTTAATATAGTTGTATTACTGTTTAGTTGTTGCATCCCATTACAAGATTGGTAATTTGGGCCGTAAAAGCAACATATAGAAGTTAACCACTTAACCATTGGTGGGAAAATACATACAAGTATACAACACATGTTAAGCCAAAAAAAAGTACCCAGATGTCCCCTCCTGTGTTCAAGGACTACAACCTATGAAAGCATTTGCCATGACGAGTAAAGGATTTGAAAAAAAATCAAAATGAATGGGGTACAAAACATTCCATTGCAAATATAGACGAGCTCAAACGACTCCCATTAGTATAAAACCAGTAAACGATTCAAAAAGCTTAATCTTCCAGTAGGTAAGAAGTATCCTTGTACATTTTTCTACTGACTAGCAATAATAATAATTCTCAAAATCCATTCCATTCTAGCTTTGAATCAAAAGCCTTTCTCAAAAGTCAAAACACGTGAATATATATATTTGGGAATACAATGTTGTAATGTTAATTAGTTGCAATAGTACATCAGTGTTAGCCATATCAACCTGGGCTGAATACAATGCAATCTCCAAACTTATCTACTTCGTGTATTTGGCTTTGTCACGGCTTCAACAAATCTATACATCCATCTGTCTAGCATGCCTGTAAGCCACAAAAATATTTGCAAAATTAAATAACTTATTAAATCACTTTAAAAATCAGTGAAATAGTTTGTTTTTTACAGTTTCTAGTTAAAAAACAAACCTGTTAGTGCAAATGTACCGCCAAGAACTGCACAAAGCCGGGTGATGAAGTGGAGAAAGCTTCGGCGTTCTTCTTTGATGGTCACAGTAATTGGTGATAAATCATACAGAAAATACACAGCTGCATCAACCATATGACAAATAATTGTTAAATTATTATTAGTATATTTTCCTTAAATATGAATCTGTTGTTTAAAGTAATACAACCTCCGTCCCAATAAATTCTTCCAAGTCAAACTTGCCTCACAAATTTAGAAAGTGCGAATAAAGTGGAAATGTATGATTGTAGTTGTGTAAGAAAAAGGTGAATGAATGTGAACCACATATTTTTTCCAAAAGTGGAAGTTGGAAGAATTTTTTGGGACGGCCCAAAAAGAAAAGTTGGAAGAATTCAATGGGACAGAGGGAGTATAAAATTAGTTTTGGAACAAACCTGGCCATGACCTATCAAAATCATGTATTGGGGAATAATACTCTGTCACAGAGAATTGATTTGTGGGTAAGACTTCTTTTGACAAATACCTGTATTCGGTGGGAACAATCTGCCAAAAATATGAAAAATCAAGATCTGGTACCAGTTTCTCATTTACCGGTTAACAAAACGCCACAACAGCTAAACGTACTTTGGGATGGCTTATTCAATGCACTTATTCGAATAACATCAAATTGGTGTTTTTTTGTTGAGAAAGGTGTTCTAAAGCATATCAAAGCTAAAAATTAACTTTTTCTGATTGAATATAAGCAGAAACAAGCTATATGTGTGTCTGTGTGCTTGTGCAGGATAATTTCTAGTAGGGAAAAGTGTCAAACAAACCCTCCTACTACGTACGAAAGTCAATTTAGCCCCTGTACTTTAACTTTCATCAATTCAGTCCTCGAAGTATGTAAATTTCGTCAAATCCGATTTTTAGCAAGTAACCCGCCGGTTAGCAATTTGGCCTGGTGACACGGCACATAACGTGGCAGCCCACATCTCATTTTCAACTTCCTTTTAGCAGCGGGGGGGGGGGGGGGGGGGGGGGTTGGATGTACGCAGCCTTACCCCTGAGCACAGAGAGACTGTTTTCGGATGACCCATGATGAAAATAGCGTCGAAAATTGCACGCTTCTTAAAAAATCGCAGATAGTTTAGTGGGTCATTTTGCTTTATTCCATGATATTCCCAAGCCAAAAAATTGTGAGTCTTTGGCTCCATTGGACATGAAAAAGGGAAAATAAGAGAAAAAGGTAAAGAAAGCGTGATGTGGGTTGTTACGTGTATGTGCGCTGCGTTAGGCCACATGTGCGTCGCGTCAACAAGTAACCTTGCTAATCGGCAAATTACCAGCTAAAGATCGGTTTTGATGAAATTTACGTACTTTGAGGACTTAATTGATGACGGTTAAAGTAGATAGACTTAATTGACTTTCTTTACATAGTAGGACCTATTTGACACTTTTCCCTTTCTAGTATATCTAGTTATATACTCCCTACTTATCCCATTTTGGGTTGTTCCATAATACTTGTCTCATTTCGTATTTTAGAAATAGGCTTAGACATTAGAGTTCCACCTATCCATTAAATAGAACTCTACCCACCTAAAAGTAAATCTCCACCACACAAAAAGTATCTTCTCCAAGGTTTTTAACTCGAAATCCTAGCATGGATAATAAGAGGCTTAGTAGATTGTTACTAGTGGATAGTAACTCGTATCTTAAGATCCTAGAGTAAAAGCTATTATGTGAAATTTATAAGAAATACATCTATATGACAACAAAACTTAAATTCAATGTTCTTATAATTCATTCATAATAACAATTAATACCTTAAATAACACAACGAATGACTATAGAATAGGACTTAAACAACCAAATAGAAAACAAGGTGAGAAGAATTGCAAAGAAAAGCACTTTTTTATAAAACTACTAGAAGTCTAGAACTAGTTGGAGTTAAACACTGAAGCTTTTATTTGCAGTCCTGACAAGGAGCTTGATAAGTTTCTATTTCGTTTTCAAGTGTCCTTATTTTGGAAAAAACATTCATTTGATGCCGCTTCTTATGTAGGTTGCTAAAGATTTTTTTCCCTTTTTTTATAAATTGATGCCAACACTTCGTGCACATCTTCTTTCCCCTTCAGACCTACACTTCCACAAACCCATAGCCCACCCGATCCGGCCTCATATCCTCGCTCCAGCAGATCAACCCGTAGCCCCATCTGGCATTTCTACGACCCAGCTCGTCAATACCAGGATTTTACCGCAGTTTCCGATTAAAAAACGTGTTTCTGAATATAGGCACGATTTGTATCGCCGTAGGATACATTACTATCACAGGATTTTACCACAGTTCACTCACGATCTTAACAACAATGATCTTCTCTCACCTTACAAACGCTTTCTTAAACTATGTGAAACCCAACAGGGATGAGTAAATCGGAAATAAGGAGTTATATAGCAAAACACCTTAACATCTAAGCAGATAAATAACATTTATACCAATATGGGTAATGTAAATATGCTCAAAATGACAAAACATCACAACGTTTAGTGTGAGTGTATGTGGGTGTGTATAAGTTATAGTTCTTTATAGAGTGAACAATAACTTCACCATGCTACTGCAAAACATCAACTATCAATTTCACATCAGATGAGGTCTGGAACTCAAACCTTTATATAATATTTGAAAGTTCCACTTGCTTCATGCAGAATTCGCTCTGTCCCATCCAAAGGGTTGTGAATTCCGGGATATTTTGGGCCAAATGATAAGTCATGGATGGAATGACTTACATTAACATGATTAGACCCTTGAAAAATCTGTGCAGAAAAAGAATTACATTGAAAAATCATTAGGAATATATTTGTTACAGATTTCTACACCATGTTAATTACTAGACTCTAGTCACTCTACTGATTAATTAATCATGCAACCCGGAAGTGGTTAATGGATCGGTGTGTGTGCGTGTGGGTCATTGATGATAACTATGATAGTGGATTGTAACTAGTTATTTACAATCTTAAAATATGTTATTTTAAGATTGCAACATATAAATAAGAAAAATATTAGTAAGAGAAAATAAAATTGTTTCCTTTATATACAACCAATTTTATTACAACTTAAAACTGGTAAGTGAACTGTAAAAGTAAAAAATAAATTTTAAAATAATAAGTGAAAGATAATAAATAAAGCACAAGACACAAATGAAAATGAAATAGAAATAAAGAAAAACATTATAAGCTACTAAAAAGTAAGAAACAAATATGATATTTTGTAGCCTTGTGGGGCTGGATTTTGACTTCCAAAAGTCTAATATATTTAGGTCAGGCCGGTGTTCAGCCTGGGAACAGGGCTTAATGGATGATCCAACTTCTTGTCAGCCATTAATTCAAATGATGGCCCACTCTGACCTTCCAAGCTGGTCCTAAACAAGGCTGCGCTTTAACAGGCCATATTTGATCGGGCTTTGATTAAGGCCGGCTCATACGGTTCTCTTGGCCCGGGTTTCTTACACCTCAAGTTCCATGGGTGCTATTGACAGAGTTCAATTTGGGTTGGAGATATAATCAATTTTTTTAGCAGAAAACCAGAGAAAAGTAAATACTACCTCTGTCTCATAATGTAAGAAGCACTTGGGTTTGGTGCGGGTTTTAAGAAAATAAAGGATAAAGTGGTTGTTTTACACTTCTAACCTCCAAAAAGTAAGAAAGAGTAAGATGAATTCCACAAAAAGTAAAGAGTGAAATGATAGATAAAGGGATAAAGTGGGAAAGTAAAAAGTTAGTAGAGTCCAAATTAGGAAAGTGATAATATTTTTGAGACAACCCAAAAAGGAAAGTGTATCTTATAAAGTGGGATGGAGGGAGTAATTAATAAGATATCATAGTATCATCAAAGATGGTAAAAATGTAATAAGAAATACTACATGACTAATAAGAATCCACTATCATATGTTACAATCTAACAAATAAAAGCCCAGCCTGGCTCAATCTTATGTGGCCCAGCCTTAATGGCATCATTGGGTCTCCTTTTAATAGATTATTGCGGCTCGGCCAGCCCAACCTGGTTTTCTTGTTAGGCACAGCCTGGACTACCTCTAAAAAAGCCCATTTTTTTCGCATGCCCAAAGACTGGGTTGGCAGGCTTTTAGAAATGAAACTTGCCCAAGGGATTTTGTTGCCTACTGGTCATGTTTAAACTACAACTTATAACCAGCTTGACTATACTTCTTTACAGAGTTTCATTAAAAAACATGTTTTATTAATGCAACAACAACAACATCAGCATCCAAGCCTTGGTTCCAAAAGAGTTTGGGGTCAGCTAATATGAATCGACACATGAAATCGGAGCTAAAAGATAAGAAAGGTAAGAAAGAAAGAAAAACAAGAAGGATAGAAAGATAAGGTAAGATAAAAAGATAAAAAAAAAATAACATAAAAAGAATAAAAAATATAAGATAAGAAGGATAAAAGGATACAGAACATAAGATGAAAAGGATAAAAAGATAAAACCTCGCAAAAAAAGATAAAAAGGATAAAAAGGATGCAAAGAGATCAATCCTCCACACGAATATTCTCCCCCATTTTCATGTAAAAAACTTTGAAATTTAGCTCTTTTTTATTCATGATTTGACAGATTGACACAGTTTGCCTTTTTAGGCATGAACTCTTTTGAGTTTCCCGTTTGGAGGAATTCCATTGTATCTCCTTTACATTTCATTCGGAAGAAAAAGAGGTACGAACAAACCAAAATCATCTCCAATCAGCTTTAGCATCATTACCCCCTCTTTCTCAGGCTTAACAAGCATGCAAAATATCAGGATAAATATTACCAGCAACTTCCTTTCTTTCAACCTACCAACAAGTGGAATTTCAATTACTAATTTTCTCATGGAATTTAAATCCCATTCACCCTTTATTCTTTTCTGTGTAGCAAATGAGCTCAGCTGCTCAGGGTTTCGGAGAAGGGAAGTGATTATTTTTCATTATAAAAAAACAGTTTAATGTGATAATATTTTCCAATACAACAACATCCAAGCCTTATTCCCAAAAGTGATAATATTTTCCAATAAAAGATATAAATGGGTAAATGAGAATAGTTTAATGCACTACTCAATTAGTTAATTCTCATATTTCACACACAACTATTTTTTAAAAATAACCCCTCCACTCTTTGCCAAACTCTCTAATATCACATAACAAAATATTTGCACAATTTCAAAGCATATATTTAGTTTACTGAAGAAACAAATACTTTAGAGATCAAAGTGAGCTGACCATTTGAGCAACAAATATGTTGAGCCCATGGACAGATATATGGAAGTTTCCAGCAACACGTTGAACATCCAAAGTACCATACACCTGTAAGGAACTTCACCTTATTAAATTACTTCAGTATTTCAAAAGACTAAAGAAATCACTGACATTGGAGCTACTAAGTACAAACCCGGCACCCTTCTCCATTATCCAATGCTTGCTTTACTTTTTTAATAAATTTTTCAGCTTCCTGGTCAAAACCTTGCAGGTGTAAATCTTCTTGATGATCTTTATGGTCATCTGATAGCAATTGTTATGAATCATGTTATCCAAAATATTTACTAATACCCAAAATGAAACTAATCATGTACTAATGTGCAAGTAAACAGCACAATGATTTTTCTTTCCACATATAACAAATAGAGCTGTGGGAGTGAGTAGTGGAGGAAAAGGTTTTATCACAATCAAAGATCAGAAGGCATAACAGGGAATTAAAAACAATTACAAAGATAAGAAAAAAAATTACCATGCTTGTGGTCTGAATGCTCCTTCTCCACCAAGTCTGATAAATACTCAGTGCCAATAATGTAGCCATCACGGTTTATGCGAAGCTGCATAAGCCTTGTACTGGTGAGCATATTAAATACATAGCCTATAACTTAAATGTGGTTAACTCTCGAAAAGCAAAAACAATAAAAAACTAACAAAAAGATATCTAATAACATACGGAGTATGAAATTTGGTATAAAAGGCAAAGCATTGTCAGATTTCTATATAAGAAAAGTCATATACTGTGGTAGCTTTTAAAAATTAAAAAATCTTTGACAAAACTAAATCAGCTAAGCTGAATTCTTGCTTTAAATTTTCTTCGATCTGTTGTTCATAAATCTATTTTTACATCAGATGCGCTTATTTATTTCATCCTCTGGTTTTCCTTCCTTATCAAGAACAGAAACAGATCCAAAGCATTCTTATGTAACTCCATTTTTTTAATGATACAAACGCATAACACGGGTAGGGCCACTGAAAAGGGTCATATAGGAGCAAAACAAGCAAACAAAAAAAATGATGGACATGAAAAGGGACACTAAAAAGGGACACGACACATACAATGCATACTTGTAGTTTATGTTGTTTCATGCATTTCTCTTCAACCATGCTCACCGGTAAGTTACAAGGAGCTGTTTTAGATATGATTAAATAATCCATTTGAAAAAAAATTATATGGAACATTCACTCCTAAAAAATCCATGATCATCATTTCAGTTTTTAAAATATCTGCAGTGCTAAAAGAAAGACAAACCATTGATATTCAACATCTTAGAAAGTGAGACAAAACGGTTTACCTTCCATATGTTAGTATCAAGATCTACTTCATGCTTCCCTGACATGTCAATTGCATCGACACTCAAAACTGGCAAAAGGGAAAAAAATAAAAATTGAACACGATGCAACAAAGTTATTAATGGCAAATGCATGGAAGTCACAATAAGATTGCTAACCATCACAAGGTAAAGATGGGAATGTCATATTGATGTGTATAGGAAGTGTTTCCCCACGTTTCAGGTCAACAGCCATCTGCCAAAATATGATTATTACACAAGCAAAATGCATATACATTCTGGATTAAAATGTTACCGACTAAATGAAAAATAAAAAACTGCATTGAGAAATGTAATACAAACCTGATGTACTGTATTTGTAGACAGATAATATTTTAGTTCATGCAAGAATAGTGTTGCCATGATGACTAACCCCACAATAGACACTAGCATAATAAAAATGAGAGACAAAGTTAGTGACTTAAGAAAACAAACAGGCTATCGTATATCCCATTTTTTTGTTCTAGACTTCTAGGTAGGCCACTGGTTTAATCTCCAATCCCGATAAGCGTATCAAAAATAGAAGTGTAATATAGAAAAAAAACACATGTATTAGGGATGAAAAAACAACACTTCGCAGATCATCAAATATGAAATTAAGCGGGCTTGATGGAGAACATGGATTCGGAAGTTTATCTCTACTTTGATATATCATATACTACCCAGGTTGAGTACTCTTAGAAGAATGCTGATTGTTCAAAAGCAATGTCCTTGTAAAATAGAGGAGTATTGTTCCTTCCTCAATCAATTGATAAACATGAATGGATTTTCTGAACTACTATTAGCTGGTAAAGGTCAACCAAAACCTTTACTTTGTGGCAAAATGTAGCTTTGCTCCAATGCCCCACATCTAGCTCCCTTCTCATATTCTCATTTCCTTTTTTGTTTTTTAGTACTATCAAATACCACATTTTCGAAACTATGTGTTCTTATTACCTGATAAAAAAATCACATTTGGCTGGCTGCCTTGGAGTAAAGGTAACTACTAACATGATAAATTTCCTCAATTAGTTTCTCAAAACACCCGAATTGATTTTGGGCAACGTGTAATATTTGCTGGAATAAAGACAGAAAAAGGCTAGATTTTTATGCTGAAAAATACCGAGGGCGCCAGATTTGGTCTGCTGCAACAGGTGCTCTTCAGCGCGCGGAAAAGCATCTATTGCTCTAATCGCCTGTTTCACTCCCATCTTTTTCTTTCCTCACCTTTTTTCCTGGCGATTATAACGAAACGGGGAACAGGAGAACATTGTAAAATAACTCAACACAAATAAATCTTGTATATGATGAATTTGAGCAAAAGATCATGAACAAATAAAATCACCTTTTGATTAGCAAAGATTATTAAAAATTACCAGAATTTGATGAATTTGAGAGATAAAAAGCGGGAAAGAGATGCCTCTAGACGAAGATAGAAAGAGAGAGGATTGAATCTTATAGAATGATCTCCCTCTGACTTCTTCAACGTTAGTGTACACAGCAAAAACAAAAGTTCATCTGTGAATCTCTGAGGAAACGAGAATCGCCGTAAATTGGGCCTTAACGGTTTCGTTTCAATAGATCACAAAGCCCATTTCACAGGACTGTTATAATGCCTAAAAAATTTAGGGGAATTTTCGCATATAAGCTTGAAAGTAAAAATAATACTTCCTCCGTTTCTGAAACAAGTTTCACCTTTCCTTTTCGGGAAGATTTAAAATTAAGTTCCACTTTCAAACATTCCCTTATTTGGCAAATTATCTACATCAAAATAGTGTCAAACAGTGTCAAACAGTGTTCAAACAGTGCCAAACAGTGCACTCCACAGTAAAGTCAAATTTATTTTCTTAATATGTTTGAAGTCAAATGTGGAACTTGTTTCAGAAACGGAGGGAGTATCACTTATTTAAGTTTTCAATTTATCTTTCAAAAATAGACTTGTCGAAATTCTCTTATCACAAATAGACCATTCGTTGCTCTTTACTGCTACGAAGGGAAATGCAAGTCCGCTGATAGCCATGTCCAGACAAATGCAAGTCTACCAATCCAAGACATGCCTCCTAAATGAAGTAATATGGAATTACGCATCACAATTTTGGCTTAATTTTAATAAAAAAATAAAATGAAAATAGTAGTAATACGTCAAAAAATGGGAATAATTAGGCAAATAATAATATTCGGGAAAAAATAAAATTATTGTTTTTAAGAGAAAATACCCAAATTAAAATTTCAAAAATGTGTAGAAATAAAATTTATGACTTAAAATTTAAAAATAAAAATAGAAATTTTAATTTAAAAAATATATCAAAAAATTCAAAATTTATAGAAAAGTTAAAATACACAACTCGAAAATAAAAAATTATAAAAACTAGAAACAAGTTATTTGTAATGATTTTTTTAAAAATATTTTTATAAAAATTCAAAAACTTTAAAATAATATTGAAAATTAGAAAAGTAATAGTTCGAAAATCTAAAACCTAAATAGTATTAAAAAAATATGAGAAATGAGATAATGTTCTAAAACTGTTAAAAATATAAAAGTAACTAGACTTTTTGTTAATGAATAAATCTAAAAATCAGATTGAATGATTTTTTTGTGGAATAGATTTTTAATGTACCGAAATATATTAATAAATAAAAAAAACTAAAAATTTGAAAAAACACAAAAATCCAAAAAATTTAAAAAGTGGAAAATAATTTTATATAATAAAGTAAAATAGTGAATTAATTTTTAATTTTTTAAAAAGCAGAAAATTAAAGAAATTAAAAGGCATGTACAGTATTTTAAAAATGAAATTACGAAAATTAAATTAATTGGAAGATAAAAAATAAAAATTGGGAAACTGTTGAAATTTGATTTCCATTAATTCAGTTTTTTAAAAAATTGTTACAAAATTTAATTACTATTACTATCATCGTTTTAATGACACTTTTTGTTGCACATTGTTTCTTTGTGTTTGTTTTTGTTTATAATTTTAAATTTTTTGTTTTTTATTGTTTCTTCATGTTTGTCGTTGTGGTTGATATTCATAAAGTCAAATTTATCAAATTATAGGATTGTATATATATGTGTTTGTGTTTTTTATTCCCACGAATAGCAAAGGTCAATATAAACATAAATAAACAAAAAAAAATTATAATCATATAAACAATAAACAACAAAAAGTAACATGATGCAACAAAAATAAACACGATGCAACAAAAAGAAACACGGTGCAACAAAAAGAAACATGATGCAACAAAAAGCAACACAACGCAACAAAAAAACAACATACACAATGCAACAAAAAGAAACAAAAAATTACATATAAAAGTGTCACAACAGATAAATATCTGTTTGTGTTTTTTATTCCCGCGAATAGCAAAGGTCAATATAAACATAAATAAACAAAAAAATATAACCATATCAACAATAAACAACAAAAAGTAACATGATGCAACAAAAATAAACACGATGCAACAAAAAGAAACACAGTGCAACAAAAGGAAACATGATGCAACAAAAAGCAACACAACGCAACAAAAAGCAACATACACAATGCAACAAAAAGAAACAAAAAATTACATATAAATGTGTCACAACAGATAAGTATCTGTTTGTGTTTTTTATTCCCACGAATAGCAAAGGTCAATATAAACATAAATAAACAGAAAAAATTATAATCATATCAACAATAAACAACAAAAAGTAACATGATGCAACAAAAATAAACACGATGCAACAAAAAGAAACACGGTGCAACAAAAAGAAACATGATGCAACAAAAAGCAACACAACGCAACAAAAAGCAACATACACAATGCAACAAAAAGAAACAAAAAATTACAAATAAAAGTGTCACAACAGATATATAATTCAAGCTATTATTGCAATGTCAAGAGAGGATTGATCGTTCCAAATGTACATCAACAATAGATAAGCAGTTAAGGGAATGTTGCAGGCGTGTCACATCAATAGCTAGGTGGAAACTACTCTGACAATGCTCCATTGACTCATGAAAATGTTGCTTCGAAATGCTTCACTTCAGTTGGATCAAGGCCGGTCTTCAATCTCGGCCACAACAATAAATGTGGCAATCACAAATTCATAGCCTGGAACACTACTACAACCACTGTTAGAGTTGCATCAGTAGTCAAATACTTTAGAGAGTCAAATGCGGTTAGCAAAGGTTTCAAAATCCTAATCATTTATTTCAACATAACGTGATAGATCAACAAAATTAATAAAAATAAATGTCTGTATAAAAATAAATGTGAAGGGCATTTGAAAATATATTATTATTTAAGGAACAAAATGATTTTTTGGTATGATGCATATATGTGCCGCAAATGCAAAATGGACAAAGGAAATGGCAAAATGAGTGCTTAGATGCTTATTGGGAATGAGAACCTGAAAATAGAAAGAAAAGCTCATCATTATCCATCCAGAAACACAAGACTTGATTTCTTAGTTCATACAAATAATCTTCTCTCTAATGCCATATACATTGTCTAAAAGTTTGATTTGGAAGGCAATTTTGGGGTTATCTATGTTTCTTGCCAAAAGAAGGAAGTACATAAAGACTAACAATAACTTACCAAATAAAAGATGTATAATTAACATAAGCACTTCTGCACATTTTTACACATAAGTCTTTTTCAGATGAGAGGAGCATAGTTGCCTAAACTAGTGAACTGAGAGTAGCTATGTCATTTGTAAGAAAACCCAAATACATTTTCCTTTGGACATTTATGCATAGATGAAAAGTTATTCCTCTGAATACTTCAAAACATAACTTCAAACCATTTATAGAAGAATCCTTAGGGATTCTTCTGCCAGTTCCTTACATGGTTGTATATTTTTATATTACCTAAAAATTCTCTAGTATTGATCATACTGAAGCACATTTCGGAAATTGATTTTCAAACCTATTAAACCTCATACTGTAAATTACTTTTCAAAATATCATAGTATAACCTTCCACTGATCACAAGTTTAAACCATGTTAAGCTATCAAACTACAAAACTTCATAGGAACACAAACTGATTTAAAGCATTCTAAACGAGGGTCAGCCCTAATATAACTTACATAAGAGAGAATATTCAAAGGTCAAATTACTGACCAACCTGCTACTTTCCTAAGGATTGAAACTAGATTTCTTGGTTGCATAAGACGGAAGTATGAAATACAATTGAATCGACTGGTCTGGAATCAGTTTCTAGAGAATAGTTCGTTAGGGGTGTCAAGTGTACCGGCTCAATAGAAAGGAACTAGGAGAAGAATCGATGAGCAATCGATAAGATCTAGATAGCTTGTGAGTTTCTAGCTTCATTTAAGGTCAGGATGAACAACTTGTTACCTACGATTTTAGTACTTGAAACTCCATAACGCCTGTGGATTTCAGCCCATGTGACTACCGAAAAATTTGCCTCCTCCTCCCATGAAATCCAGAGTCACCTGGAGTGTGTGATTGATGACACAAATTCTGCCCATCGGTCCTCTAATTTAGTTCCGAATGACCATAACGATAAGGGATCGATCGATCTGATACAACCTCCCTTTCTCCAGATATTGCATCATCTGCTGCAACGAGAACAATTGTAAGATTGCTTTCAGAAGAATTCCATCTGTTGTCTGTGGTGAAATGAGAACTAGAAGTCAGGGAGAGAGTCGGATTGTACGTGGCGACGAGTGAGATGAGAAGGGGAAGTCAGGGAGGGAGTGGGAGAGGATGGCGGAGGTTTAAACGTGTATATCGACGGAACCTATCTAAAATTGAAATAAAAAATTAATATTGAAAACCTAAAAGTCTATAAATGAAATGAGAAATCACTTGGGACATAAATGATACTGGGTTCTAAAACATAGACTCTACGGGTAATTTCCACAAAAAATTATTCACAGTCCTCTTTTTATTAATCACAGTCAATATTTATACAAAGTCATATAATGAATTTGAAGGCCCGTGTTCTGAAAGTAAAATTGAGGACCCATACTATTACAAATAAAATCTCAATTTAAATACTTATACTCAAATCAAATAAATATTCATTAAACAATGTAATGAAAATTTCTAAAAGTTACTTAATACGAGTACTTGATTTAAAGCAACACAACTCATTATGCAAACAATTTTAGTAAAAGAGAAGTAAATGGATCGATTAAAAATGACATTATTGTATTTTTATTCCTTACTAACTGTATTTTATTGATCAATATTAATATATAATATTACTATATAATACTAATAATATTTTAAAAAATTGGGGCACCATAAATCGAGAGATCATGTTCTGTAGAACCTATTGAACATGCTAAAAGACGGCTCTGAGTTTACACAATTTGTATTTTATTTAAGACCAATACACTCTTGTACTAAATTATACGGGATATCTACTTTGTTCACCGGACTAATTCATCTATCCATCTCTCTTTGTTTTATAAGCAACCCACATTTAACATTCCATTTACTTTACATGAACGTTAAGGTCCACAGAAAGTCTAGAAACCTCCTTCCCACCTTCCATTTACACCAATCTATGTTGCACAAAAACACGGAAATGAGAAAACGAGAAACAGGAAATGGGAAACATCAACTTTTGT